ATGGTTAAAGTTGGAAGGAATAAAGAAATCCTTAATTGTTTTCAGTTTCCCTGCGGTTTTTGCTTCGTTAATTAACCTACCGACTTCTCTCATTTTCTGCCTAATGTAATCATGCTTAGTCTTATCATGCCCGTGTTTTAAGTACAGGTGCTCTCCGAGTCTCAGAATCCCCTTTTCTGCTTTGACAACACCCGTGACCTCATCCTGATGCATTGCCGAAATTAAAGACCACAGCTTTTTGCTGATGCCCTCCGGTACAGGCTGGGCTAGGGAGCAGAGGGACTGGACCCTACTTCTACCTGGTTTAGCCTGGGCATCTTTCTGTGAAAGCCGGCACCTGGCCACATGCCTCCACAGCGACTTTCGCTTAAGCAATGCCCCACAGTCTATACAGTGCAAAAACTCACTGGATTTAACTGGGGAATTTGGCTGTTTAGCTGGGACTAAAGTTCCAATGCCGGCCTTTAAAACCTCAAAATTGTGTTCACGGTTTCCACTATTCCTGATCAAATCAAACTGAAGTTTACGTGCTTTAGATTTCACAGGTAGAGCCAATGCTCTGGCTACGTCACTTTCATTTCCATGTTTTCTAGTCAAATGACGGGACATTTTGTGGCAGGACATTGAACAGTAGAGGCAGAAGTGTCTCTTGCTGTAAACTCGCCCCCCATTTTTCTTCTTTTGCAGCTGCATGATAACAATCTTATTTGCCTTTGGTTCGTCACTTTCCGAGTCTTGAAGAAAAGTGTTTTTGATTTTTCTTTTTCCATACTTTTTTACAGGTTTCTTCTTGACAGTTAAATCGTCAGAATCTGAGTCGACTTCATCAATTAGGGACTCTTGACTAAGCTGCACAAACAACAAATAATTTGTAATCATTCTATATAACAATTTGAAGTCATGACTTGTAGTCAGCACTTACCAGTGGTTTGTAAGCGTGCGCTTCAGTGTGCTCCTCCATGATTTCTTGCAGCCTAATGAACCACACACTTGCACCTTTTTCTAGCCTGACACCTGATTTCCTCTGTTGTGCTGCTCCATGATTGGCTCCAGCCTGCTGGACTGAAATTGCCCCAGTGTGCCCCTCCTTGATATCCCGCAACCCACCACCAGGGTTCCGACACATAACACACTTTTTTCAGGAAAGTAAACCTCCAGGGGTCCTTTCCATATTTTTACAGAGACTGCATAAGGACCGTTAGAAAAGCATTACCCATTGATTATTAAGCTTGGACCAGTGGGGTCCGGTGTTCGGGCCCCACCACGTAAAACCAGTCCCCATGACGTGAGTGGAATCTCAGGTTATGGAACCCACCAGGAGTTGAAAACAAGTGCACACACATTGACACACACACACTCACACACACACATTGACACACTCACACACACACAGACACAGACACACTCACAGACACACACTCACAGACACATACACACACACACACATTGACACACACACACTCACTCACACACACACACTCACACACACAGACACAGACACACACACAGACAGACACAGACACACACACACATACAGACAGACACACACACACACACACACACACAGGATGAAGCTGCGCCATTTCACTGCTCATTGACTGTGTGAAAACAGCAGGAGACTGTGTGTGTGTGTGTGTGTGTGTGTGTGAGTTCAGAGCCGGGTTAACGAGAAAGAGTCTCGCTGCAGAATTACTCATCATTATTATGGGCAGGAAATAGTGTCGTTACAGAAGCAGCCGTCTGAGTCTGGTCTGGCCCCGTCCCTTCTGCTACACTGCTCTGTCAAATCAATAAGTAGAACAATAGAAATATTTCAATATAGATGACTTATTTATGTATTATATATTTTTGTTTGAGGGATTTTGAATGTTGTTGAAGCTAGGGGTGTGACGATCGCGATTCGATTATCAATATGCATTTTCCAAGTATCGAAATCGATTTTGAAAAAAAAAAAAATATATATATATATTTTTTCAATTTTGTATATATATTTTTTTTCAATTTAAAAAAAAAATCAATACTTAATATATGGCTACATAACGCATCTCGACTCCATTTATCATGAAATAAAGTGTATTTTTTCACTTCATATTTTTCTTTTATTTATGCCGTAAATTGACATATGGTATATTTCTGACCAATATATCGATAATCGTCATATCGTGGTAAAATCGTTTTTGTGATAAAATCGTTATCGTGAGCTTTGTATCGTATCGTGAGGTACCCTTAGGTTCCCACCCCTAGTTGAAGCCCAAAAGGGAAGTGCCCATGGACAAAGTTTTGGTCTGGCTCTTATGGACTGGTCTCGCTCTCTAGTCTCTCTCTGGTCTCTCTCTGGTCTCTCTCTGGTCTCTCTCTGGTCTCTCTCTGGTCTCTCTCTCTGGTCTCTCTCTCTGGTCTCTCTCTCTAGTCTCTCTCTGGTCTCTCTCTCCAGTCTCTCTCTCTCTGGTCTCTGTCTCTGGTCTCTCTCTGGTCTCTCTCTCCAGTCTCTCTCTCTCTGGTCTCTGTCTCTGGTCTCTCTCTGGTCTCTCTCTGGTCCCTCTCTCAGAATCAGAATCAGAATCATTTTTATTGCCACGTAAGTAACAGGAGGTCACAGACTAGGAAATTGCTCTCTGGTCTCTCTCTGGTCTCTCTCTCTGGTCTGTCTCTCTGGTCTGTCTCTCTGGTCTCTCTCGCTGGTCTCTCTCTGGTCTCTCTCTCTCTGGTCTCTCTCTCTCTGGTCTCTCTCCGGTCTCTCTCTCTCCAGTCTCTCTCTCTCTGGTCTCTCTCTGGTCTCTCTCGCTGGTCTCTCTCTGGTCTCTCTCTCCAGTCTCTCTCTCTCTCCAGTCTCTCTCTCTCCGGTCTCTCTCTCTCCAGGCTCTCTCTCTCTGGTCTCTCGCTGGTCTCTCTCTCCAGTCTCTCTCTCTCTCCAGTCTCTCTCTCTCTCCAGTCTCTCTCTCTCTCCAGTCTCTCTCTCTCTCCAGTCTCTCTCTCTCTCCAGTCTCTCTCTCTCTCCAGTCTCTCTCTCTCAGTCTCTCTCTCTCTCCAGTCTCTCTCTCTCCAGTCTCTCTCTCTCCAGTCTCTCTCTCTCTCCAGTCTCTCTCTCTCCAGTCTCTCTCTCTCTCCAGTCTCTCTCTCTGGACTGAGCCTGCAGATCCACAGTCTTTGCTCCAGTCTGGGGCCCTCTCCTCACTGCCCTCTTTGAACCCTCAGAGATGAAGCAGTGAGTTTAATATCTTCCGTGTCCAGACGACTGTGAACTTGAGCTCCTCCGATTCTTCCAGAGATTATTTTGTGTTTTTTATTTCCGTTTGGAGGCAGCAGAGACGAGGGTCATGGGCTGAGATCGTAAACATCGACTACGTTTAATTAACTCATTATTTTGAGATTTGAGCCCAAAATATAGGTTGATTTTGAATAGCCTCCAAACTCAAATACCATATACAACACTGCTTACTGTAAATAATAGGAATAATAATTCTCTTGTCTAATTGGACGAGCACATATCACCAGAATGATTGACAGTTAAGAGGACCAATAGTCTTAATGGAAGTAGAAAATCCTCTTATACCTTTAATATTAATTGATTTATTGACCTTTATTCAACCAGGACAGTCCCACTGAGGTCGCCAACCGTATCTTAAAATATAGAATCACATTTTAGAAAAACTATGTATGTCCTGTTTTGAATCGATAAGAGACGGCTTTTGTCCTACATTTTCAGAGTTGCCTTAAATCAGGCTCGTCCAAACTAAGGCCCGAGGGCCAATTGCGGCCCGCTGTGTCATTTGTTGTGGCCCTCTGCCCTGCTCACGCAAAGCAGTTTTTCTAATGTGGTTTTACTGAAAATGGAAAATATATTCTTGTATCTTGTATCTAATTGTGGTTGTAAATCTCAGAACCTCTTGATTCCCGTAATTCATTTATTCATTAGGGCGACAGTAGCTCAGTTGGTAGAGCTTTGGCCTTTGAGCCAGAAGGTCGTGGGTTCAAGCCCCGCTCAAGACTTTCACCATCGACTCCCACTGTCTGCTGTCGTTGTGTCCTTGGCAAGACACTTAACCTCTGGGAACACCAGCCACAGTGGGGTGGCTGCAGCTGTAAAGTGCCAAACTGCCGTTGTGTCCTTAGGCAAGACACTTCACCCCCATTGCCTAGAATGAGTCTGGTGTGTGTGTGAATGGTTGGTGGTAGTCGGAGGGGCCGATGGCGCATACTGGTTGCCTCGCTTCTGTCAGTGTGCCCCAGGGCAGCTGTGGCTACAGCAGTAGTTTATCACCACCGTGTTTGGAGTGAATGAATAATGACACATGTGAAGCGTCTTTGAGTGTCCAGAAAAGCGCTATATAAAACCGATGCATTATTATTATTATTATTATACTTACATCTGTTTTTCACAAAGTTCTCTCTCTGGTCTCTCTCTCTGATCTCTCTCTCTTTTGGACCTCATTATTCCTTCTTCACACCCAACTTTTCCGACGAACTTAATTGCCTCATTCTGGACACACCCACACAGATCACACAGTAAAGCGGCCCTCTTACACACACAGTAATTTGATTGGTTTAAGCGTCTACCTTTCGGCCAATCAGTGTCGCCAAAGGGTCCTGGCTGCAGCGTGAGCAGGCGGGAATAGTGCTATGAGCGCCTAATCTTCAATGTTTTTACTGGTAGAGGAAACTGGAGCACCTGGAGAAAACCTACGCAGACACGGGAAGAACATGCAAACTCTCCATAGAAAGGCCTGGAGGTGGAATCAAACCCAGGACCTTCTTGCCAATACCATAAACAAACAGACAGTAATGAGACTAATAAGCATGCTATCATGTTAGCATACTATTAGCATCATACAAGCCACACCTTTTCTATCTAGTTTTTTAATATCAGGTTTGTATATATATTATTGTATGTGTTTTTATGGTTTCTCACTTGCCTGCGCAGCACTCTGGCACTTTTTAAATGTGCTTTACAAATACACATAGGTGGATTTGTTGATAATCTCTCCGTGTGTTTCTTGCAGAGGTGTCGTGGCTGAACTGGTGTCTGATTGGCTCGTGTCTCTTCAGCCTGGTCCTGCTCCTCTTCTTCAGGGAAACGTACGACCGCCTGTACCTGGACGTCTTTGTATCTGTGTAAAAGCCACACAAACTGAACTCTAACAAATAACTTTAACTTTGCACAAACATGGACTAAAACAAGGGACAATGGGAAGTGTGTGTGTGTGTGTGTATATATATATATAAATGTGACGTCATGTTTACTGTCTGTCCCTGGGAGTCGAGTTTTTAAACCAGGAATGTTGTTGCTATTACATGATCCATAAGTTAATACGTTAAATATTCTTGTTTGGGCCGGTTCAGGAAGTACTTGAAGTTATCAGCCAATAGGAAGGCTTGAATCCGAGTCTATTTAAGGAATTCTAATAAGGGAAAAGAACGTGTTACTGGGAGAAACACAAAAACGGGAATCTTAACGGCGTTCGTCCAACCTGGAAACTCGAGGACATTTTTTCGTTGTAATTTTTGTGATTTTTTTTTTTTTTAGGACTGTTGCCATGGCAACTTGCAATTTCAAACAACCACTGTGTTATGAATGAGGCACACGTTTACAAAGGGTTGAAACTGTTAAAACTGGAAACATACAAGTAAAAATATATGTTAGAAATAAATACATTCTTACAACATTTATAAGTATTTTTTTATTTTTAACATATATTTTTCATACAACATGAGATAAAAACAAGATACAGAAGTTATATTTGAAAAATACTGTTTTAAAAATGTTTCGACAAAGGAAAGACTAATTGGGCTCCTACCACTCTATCTCACGCCTTACAAACAGACACGCACACATAGACGTACACACACCCACACACTTAAGCGCACGTACAAACATACAGACACACACTTACACAAATAAATATACAGGCGCCCCAACACGCACACAAACATACAGGCACACACACTTGAGTGCACACACACATTTAAGCGCACACACACAAACACAGGCACACACATACTTGAGCGCACACACACAACACAGGCGCACACAAAAACATATGGGCATACACAAAAGTACATGCAAACACACACTTTTCAACAGGAGGCCAGTCCCTGTGCTCCTCAGATTCCCAGCAGGAGACCAGTCCCTGTGCTCCTCAGATTCCCAGCAGGAGACCAGTCCCTGTGCTCCTCAGAGTCCCAGCAGGAGGCCAGTCCCTGTGCTCCTCAGAGTCCCAGCAGGAGACCAGTCCCTGTGCTCCTCAGAGTCTCGCCCTTTTGGTTCCCAGTATTTTTCAGACCTTTAAAATTGTCATATTTCCTTTCATGTTTTTAAGCTCATGTTCTCAGATCGCTCATGTTCGTTTCTTAAGTTGAATATTTTAAAACAATGTAAGTTTCCAGTTTTCTCAGTCTACAACAGTACCTATAATCATGATCACACATTTCTTGAACGTTTTCTGGTTTTAAAACACCACAATAATGTGTGAAATGATCTTCAATGTCATATAATAATGATGATAGATTCTTATAATGTGGAGTCCAGAGCCAGAACCTTTGACACTGTTGGACAGAACCGTCTCCGCACACGCCAAAGAACCTTTCCAAATTTTAAGGGAAATTTAAATTGTTTTTACTTGTTTTGTTCTTTTGAGCCGTGATTCTGTGACACGGACCTGACAGAAGTGACGAGGTCCCTGTGGGTCTGAAGGTGTGAGGCTGAGGTTCCTGTGGGTCTGAGGGTGTGAGGCTGAGGTCTCTGTGGGTCTGAAGGTGTGAGGCCAAGGTCCCTGTGGATCCGAGGGTGTGAGGCTGAGGTCCCTGTGGATCTGAGGGTGTGAGGCCGAGGTCCCTGTGGATCCGAGGGTGTGAGGCTGAGGTCCCTGTGGATCTGAGGGTGTGAGGCCGAGGTCCCTGTGGATCTGAGGGTGTGAGGCAGAGGTCCCTGTGGATCTGAGGGTGTGAGGCCGAGGTCTCTGTGGGTCTGAAGGTGTGAGGCCAAGGTCCCTGTGGATCCGAGGGTGTGAGGCTGAGGTCCCTGTGGATCTGAGGGTGTGAGGCCGAGGGCCCTGTGGATCCGAGGGTGTGAGGCCGAGGTCCCTGTGGATCTGAGGGTGTGAGGCCGAGGTCCCTGTGGATCTGAGGGTGTGAGGCTGAGGTCCCTGTGGATCTGAGGGTGTGAGGCAGAGGTCCCTGTGGATCTGAGGGTGTGAGGCCGAGGTCCCTGTGGGTCTGAGGGTGTGAGGCAGAGGTCCCTGTGGATCTGAGGGTGTGAGGCCGAGGTCCCTGTGGGTCTGAGGGTGTGAGGCCGAGGGCCCTGTGGATCTGAGGGTGTGAGGCCGAGGTCCCTGTGGATCTGAAGGTGTGAGGCTGAGGTCCCTGTGGATCTGAGGGTGTGAGGCTGAGGTCCACCGCAGGCAAACGTGGACAATAATGTGTTAATAACAGTTTGTTTGTGTGACGATGCTAAAGCTAATGCTAATTTTGAGGGCTTGGTCACACAATATATTACCTCTTTTTAATTCTTATCACCACCAGAGAGAGACCAGGAATAGGGGGCAGAGAGAGAGACTAGAGCGAGATTCCAGAGAGAGAGACCAGAGAGAGAGAGACCAGAGAGAGAGAGACCAGAGAGAGTGAGACCAGAGAGAGTGAGACCAGAGAGAGTGAGACCAGAGAGAGTGAGACCAGAGAGAGAGAGACCAGTGACAGGGATCAGTGAGAGAGACCAGAGAGAGAGAGACCAGAGAGAGAGAGACCAGAGAGAGAGAGACCAGAGAGGGAGAGACCAGAGAGAGAGAGACCAGAGAGGGAGACCAGAGAGAAAGACCAGAGAGAAAGACCAGAGAGGGAGACCAGAGAGAGAGACCAGAGAGAGAGACCAGAGAGAGAGACCAGAGAGAGAGACCAGAGAGAGAGACCAGAGAGAGACCAGAGAGACAGAGACCAGAGAGAGAGAGACCAGAGAGGGAGACCAGAGAGGAGACCAGAGAGAGAGAAGACAGAGAGAAGACCAGAGAGAGACCAGAGAGAGAGACCAGAGAGACCAGAGAGACCAGAGAGAAGACCAGAGAGAGAGACCAGAGAGAGACCAGAGAGAGACCAGAGAGAGACCAGAGAGAGAGACCAGAGAGGAGAGAGAGAGACCAGAGAGAGAGACCAGAGAGGGAGACCAGAGAGGGAGACCAGAGAGGGAGACCAGAGAGGGAGACCAGAGAGGGAGACCAGAGAGAGAGACCAGAGAGAGAGACCAGAGAGGGAGACCAGAGAAAGACCAGAGAGAGAGACCAGAGAGGGAGACCAGAGAGAAAGAGCAGTGAGAGGGATCAGTGAAAGAGACCAGAGAGAGACGGCAGACCAGAGGCAGACCAGAGGCAGACCAGAGGCAGACCAGAGGCAGATAAACTGTGTTATAGTTAGAGACCCGTGCGTGTGTTTTCATGTTTACATTTATCTCCCGACTCTGGCCTGGTTCCTCCGGGGCCTGGTTCCTCCGGGGCCTGGTTCCTCCGGGGCCTGGTTCCTCCGGGGCCTCGTTCCTCCGGGGCCTCGTTCCTCCGGGGCCTGGTTCCTCCGGGGCCTGGTTCCTCCGGGGCCTGGTTCCTCCGGGGCCTGGTTCCTCCGGGGCCTGGTTCCTCCGGGGCCTGTGGTGTGAACGCAGCCTCCGCCTCTTTCCTGGTGCTTTGTTTTTAATGTTATTTTTTTTATTTATTTCCTGTTTCTGTCCTTGTTCAGAGAGGTCCTGCCTTAAGGTGAAACTACTGTGCCCTGTGTCCAAACCATGTGTCCAAACCATGTGTCCAAACCATGTGTCCAAACCATGTGTCCAAACCATGTGTCCAAACCATGTGTCCAAACCATGTGTATATTTGTAAAACTGTGGCTTCGGGGAAAACGTCCTCTTTGTGACTGTTCCATTTCCAGCACCTTATTAAAACTGTTTTGAGAAAAAAATTTACATTATTAAAAGTGTTTGAAATTATTACTTTACATCCAGTGATTTTTCCAACCACCAACCAGATCCAGGACTGAGGCGGTAGACCCAGGACTGAGGCTGTAGACCCAGGACTGAGGCTGTAGATCCAGGACTGAGGCTGTAGATCCAGGACTGAGGCCGTAGAACCAGGACTGAGGCCGTAGATCCAGGACTGAGGCCGTAGAACCAGGACTGAGGCCGTAGAACCAGGACTGAGGCCGTAGATCCAGGACTGAGGCCGTAGATCCAGGACTGAGGCTGTAGATCCAGGACTGAGGCTGTAGACCCAGGACTGAGGCTGTAGATCCAGGACTGAGGCTGTAGATCCAGGACTGAGGCTGTAGATCCAGGACTGAGGCTGTAGACCCAGGACTGAGGCTGTAGACCCAGGACTGAGACTGTAGACCCAGGACTGAGGCTGTAGACCCAGGACTGAGGCTGTAGATCCAGGACTGAGGCTGTAGACCCAGGACTGAGGCTGTAGACCCAGGACTGAGACTGTAGACCCAGGACTGAGGCTGTAGATCCAGGACTGAGGCCGTAGATCCAGGACTGAGGCTGTAGATCCAGGACTGAGGCTGTAGACCCAGGACTGAGGCTGTAGATCCAGGACTGAGGCTGTAGATCCAGGACTGAGGCTGTAGATCCAGGACTGAGGCTGTAGACCCAGGACTGAGGCTGTAGACCCAGGACTGAGGCTGTAGACCCAGGACTGAGGCTGTAGACCCAGGACTGAGGCTGTAGACCCAGGACTGAGACTGTTTTTCTTCATGTTTTTCCTCCAGCGTCAGGGTGGTAAAATCAAGACTGGACCATTGTCTCCTCCCGTCCCTCAACCCTGAGCTTTAAAAATATAATTGACTTTTGTGGAATTATGAAAAACGAGCGCTCCTTCAAACGCCTCATTTACCGCTCGCCGCCGCCGCCGCCGTCTCCTGAATATTAAACGTGGCTCGATGAGGAAAGATGGCCGCTCTCTCTCAGCGCCAGAGGATCATTCATCAGGAGGCGGAGGCTACGGTGGCCCAGGAGGGAACTGGAAATATTGGTGAATAAGTGACTTGTGTTAAGGTAAGGCACAGTTTGTACACAAGGCAACTCAACATTCGTACTACTGAATAAGTCCAAAGCTAACTAGCGCTAACCAAAGCTAACCAAAGCAGATTGAAGCTAACTAAAGCTAACCAAAGCAGATTGAAGCTAACTAAAGCTAACCAAAGAAGATTGAAGCTAACTAGCGCTAACCAAAGCAGATTGAAGCTAACTAGCGCTAACGAAGCAGATTGAAGCTAACTAAAGCTAACCAAAGCAGATTGAAGCTAACTAAAGCAGATTGAAGCTAACTAGCGCTAACAAAGCAGATTGAAGCTAACTAGCGCTAACCAAAGCAGATTGAAGCTAACCAAAGCAGATTGAAGCTAACCAAAGCAGATTGAAGCTAACTAAAGCAGATTGAAGCTAAATAGCGCTAACAAAGCAGATTGAAGCTAACTAGCGCTAACCAAAGCAGATTGAAGCTAACTAAAGCTAACCAAAGCAGATTGAAGCTAACTAAAGCAGATTGAAGCTAACTAAAGCAGATTGAAGCTAACTAAAGCAGATTGAAGCTAACTAAAGCAGATTGAAGCTAACTAGCGCTAACAAAGCAGATTGAAGCTAACTAGCGCTAACCAAAGCAGATTGAAGCTAACCAAAGCAGATTGAAGCTAACTAAAGCAGATTGAAGCTAACTAGCGCTAACCAAAGCAGATTGAAGCTAACTAGCGCTAACCAAAGCAGATTGAAGCTAACTAGCGCTAACCAAAGCAGATTGAAGCTAACTAGCGCTAACCAAAGGAGATTGAAGCTAACTAGCGCTAACCAAAGCAGATTGAAGCTAACTAGCGCTAACCAAAGCAGATTGAAGCTAACTAGCGCTAACCAAAGCAGATTGAAGCTAACTAGCGCTAACCAAAGGAGATTGAAGCTAACTAGCGCTAACCAAAGGAGATTGAAGCTAACTAAAGCAGATTGAAGCTAACTAAAGCAGATTGAAGCTAACTAAAGCAGATCGAAGCTGACCAACGCTAACGTATCTGTGAAATGTTTTTGTCTTGTTTTCTTTATTGGATACAAACTCAATTTATCCACTTTAGGGCTACACTTTAAAAGAAAATCATATTACCTACACTGCTAAAAGTGCTGAAAAAGATGTCAACAATTACTCAAATTTGGCTAAATAGATATTATTTTCAGCATATTCTGAGCCTTAAAATAAGATTTTCCAATGGGACAAAGAGCAGAATAATCTTGTTTTAAAAAGAAACAAGAAATGTCTCAAGCAAATAAGACTAAATGGCTTTGTCCCATTGGAGAAGCTTTTATTACCTCATGTTTTATAATTTTTTGCAGTGTATTGATCCAGCCAAAAATAATCAATAAATAATAGATACTTATGTTATGTTAAGTTTCTTGTGGTTTGAAATGTGTTCTCATCTTTAATGTTGAAATAAACCCGAGACCAAAGGACGACGGTCTCTTCTGAGTTCAGGACAAACACAGACGCATCTCTCATTAAAGAAGTAAGTGTGGTATTCCGGAGGCCATGGTGGATATTATTTTAGCTGAATCCACATTAAATCAAGATAAAGGACGTAGATCCGTTGCGATGATACAGAACCTGATTCCGTAGTTACCAAAATAATACATTTATAACATGATTTTTGTTCATTTCACTTCAACACGACTCCGGTCACTTTAATATTATACATTGTTGTGATCTCCGATGGTTGCTGTGGGACAGTAACTTTGTCACAGGAATCTGGGTAATCTACGTCTGGCTCCACGGCATCGTTCTGGGTTAGCGCCAGTGTTGCCAACTTAGCGACTTTTCAGACCCTATAGCGACTTGTTTTCAAAAAAGCAACTAGCGACAGATCTAGACAAAGCATTAAAATCATTAAATGTTGTTAATGTTGAAATTATTTTTTTACATTTGTAGTTCTAAACATATTTAGGGTGTTTTTTACTCACTTTTGTCTCTCCCACGACGTTATTCCTTTCTCCTACAGCGTCCGTTACAGTTATTTGCAAATTGCCAATTATGAAAATTAGGCGATGACGTCTTCTAGCGACTTTTGGGACAGCCAATAGCTACTTTCCTTACTGAGGAGTTGGCAACACTGGTTAGCGCTGTAGCCGCTCACACACACATGGGCGGCACGGTGGCTCAGTGGATAGCACTCTCGCCTCTCAGCAAGAAGGTCCTGGGTTCGAATCCCGGTCGGACCAAGGCCTTTCTGAGTGGAGTTTGCATGTTCTCCCCGTGTCTGCGTAGGTTTCCTCCGGGTACTCCGGTTTCCCCTACCACTAAAAATATGTACAATAGTTCTGGCATGTGCCTCCTGTACTGGCCCCTCCCATCTCTGTGTGGAGTGAGAGACAAATGCCCAAAATAAAATAATAACAATTGTAAACCGCTTTGAGACTCAGATCTGCAGTGAAAAGGCGGTATATAAATAAAGATTACTTACTACTACTACTACTACTTGCTGGTTTGAAAGCCAGCGCCGCGGGCAGTACACGGCCCAAGTCACGGAACACAAGCGGACCCACGGCGGCAGCACTGAGAGTGGGAACGGCGACGTAAGAGCGTGAGGTCAGAGGTGAAAGGAGCACATCCCTTTTATGGGCTCTACGCAGGCACCACTTCCTCGTTTTAGAGATAACACTTCCTGTGCGCGGGAAACGGCTCGAGTCTCAGCAGATGTTTACACGAGTTTCCCAAATAATGCTCAAACTGGAATTAAACTGGGACACAAACTTCGGGAAACACAGCAGTGCTCTTTGATTGTGCTGTCGTCGGCCCTCATTTATGAAACTTGCGCAGAGAAGGGTGTATATTTTGAGTGTATATTCCAAATACGCACAAAAGCCAACGCCGGATTTATGAACGTGCGAGATACGCCCAGAACTGAGCGTACGCACAGCGGCTGTTGATAAACGCCACGGCTGAAAACGAACGTATTTCTGAACGTCACGCCTAGAAATATGCAGCAAAACTCTGCATTTTTACAACAATTGAGAGGAAACGATACAAAAAAAAAAACTTCACGGAGAAGAAGGTTGAGACCATTATGAACAAAGTGGGAAAAAAATTAACTCTTACTATTTGGAAGCCTCAAAAGTGGCATCAAGAGGCTCAAAAGAGAAAACATGGAAAGAGATGACAGCATCTGTAAACAGCGTGGGGGCGGTAACACGCACTTCTGAAGAGGTGAGTTTATTCATGTTTGAAGACATATATTCGTTGACACATGTTGGGTCAATAGTTAGAATTGATACATTTATGCCACTGGTGAAAAGAAAATGGAGTGACCTTAAAATGGTAACAAAAAGGCGTTTAGCAGCTCATAGAAGAAGTGCTCGGCAGCCCAGGGGGAGGACCGCTGGACCAAAGCATCCGAAAGAAAATATAAAGAAGTAAAATTTACACCGGGATTTGGCCGTACGCAAGTTTCATATACGAGGCCCATTGTGCTTTTATAAAGTGAACTAATCTCTCTGAGTGGCCACAGTCACAGCTCTACCTCAGAGAGAAAGCACAGTCTCAGCTGAATGTATCAATCTCATTACTAAAAAACGTCACTACAACTCACCTAAAAGCCATAGAAGCACAGACAGGAAGTGAACAGGCTGATCTGCGTTAACAGGAAATGACATCACACCTCCCCGTGTATTGACCCCTTGAGTGATTGACGGGACAAATAATTAATAGTTACCTAATGTAACTTAAGTTCTACGAATAGGTGCGTAGTCCCTTAGGACTTCGCTAGTGGGATATCACTCGTGACCCCCAGGTCACACGCCAGAGAGATCAAAATAATTTGCTCCAATCACCAGCCACCCTCCTCTATAAAGGCCCCTGCACAAGGCCGCACCCCCTCTTGAACTCTGCCAAGCCGGGCTGGCCTGATGGGCTCGTAGCTAAGGGACTACGCACCTATTCGTAGAACTTAAGTTACATTAGGTAACTATTAATTCTACCTCATGGTGCTACGTCCCTTAGGACTTCGCTAGTGGGACACAACGCGGAGGCCGTAGGAACATGTACTCCCAGCAGGCCAGCGAAGGGTGATTGGAGCTCCGCCCGAGCAAGACCCTCACACGGTGAGAGGACTCAGGGCAGAAGAAACAAATGCGTGTTACCGGGCCACTCCTACCAAGGATACCCCCACGTAACACAGACCGTAGGTCACCCGTAGTCCCAGGACGCCTCTCCCAAGAGCTCCCGACGTGGACTACCGACCGACCAAAACACACATATATGTACCGCACCTGTAGGACGCCTCTCCCAAGAGCTCCTGAACCAGGGCGGAAAGTCAACCGAAGGCCCCCTCAGAGGAGGGACCTAACGGTCTAACTCAGTCCGCTGCACTCAGCACGGAATGGGCCACCGACCGGTCCGACACATCCAAAAGATAAGACCGGACGAAAGAGGAGGACGGCGCCCAAGAAGCCGCACGGCAGACGTCCTCGACCGACGCCCCCTTGAGAAGGGCCGTAGAGGCCGCCATCCCAATGCGACCTGAAGCCCACCGGGGGGCCAGACCCTGCGTCTGATACGCCCGCCGCACCGCCGTGGCGACCCAGTGCGCCAGCCGCTGAGCCGACAGCGGGGCGCCCCTGTTCTTAGGTCCCAGACACACAAACAGCTGACCAACCAACCTGAATGACGAAGTTATGGCCAGGTAATGCCTCAGCATTATGACAGGACACAGAAGGTGCCGCCGCTCCTCCTCGGGGGAGGCATGCGGTGGCGGATAGAAAGCCCTAATCCTGATGACTCTCGACCTAAAGGCCGACGTGATGACCTTGGGGAGAAAGGCCGGATTGGGCCACAATTCCACCATGCCGTCGCCCTCTCCAAAGGACAGGCAAGACGCATGGACAGAGAGCGCCCACAAGTCGCCCGCCCTCTTAGCAGACGCCAACGCCAGCAAGAGGGCCGTCTTAAAAGCGACACACTCGGGACTCGCCTCCGCCGCTGGTTCAAAAGGCGGACCCGACAGCCCCCTAAGGTCCCAAACCGGGGGCGTTCTCTGGAGCGGGGGCCTCCTCCTGCGCGCCCCACCGCAGAAAACGTTTTACCAACGGATGAGAGCAGGCTGTGAACCCCCCGAATCCGTCGTGACCCGAGGTAATGGCTGCCGCGAACACCGCCAAGGTGGCGACAGCCCTCCCTTTGTCAAAAAGCTCCTGTAGGAATCCCAGGACCCCCCTCCAGCGGGCAGCACCAGTCGCTGAAGAGCCTCCACCTCGTGGCGTAGGCCCTCACAGTGGACGGCGCCCTCGCCCCCTGAATGGTCTCCACCACCGCAGGGGGAAGACCCAGGTCTACGAGGTTCCGCCTCTCAGCCTCCAAACCCAGAGCGGCCGATTATCGGGCGTGAAAACAGGGCTCCCCCCCTGGACTAGAGCCCCCGGCTCGTCCGGGAGGGCCCAGGGCTCCATCACTGCCATGCCCCTCAGGAAGGGGAACCACCGGGCATGCGGACTGTCCGGAGCCACCAGGATCACCGACCTCCTCTCCTGTTCGATCCTCCGCAGCAGGACCGGCAGGAGACGCACTGGTGGGAAAGCGTACAGCAGGCCCTCTGGCCAGGGGTAATGAACCAGAACGTCCACGCCTAGGGGCGGCCTAGTCCGCGGCCCTTAAGGCGAACCAGGACGGGCACTGTGCGTTTTCTGCACTGGCGAAAAGGTCGACCACTGGACGGCCGAACCTCCGCCAGATCTCCGCAGCTACCCGTGGGGCCAGGCCCCACTCGTCCTGGAGTGGGCCCCCCCTGGACATCCTGTCGGCCCCCACGTTCCGGACCCCCGGGACGTGGCGCGCCCTGAGAGACAGGAGGTGAAGCGCCGCCCACAGCAGCGTCACTGTCGCCATGCGATGGAGAGCGGGGGACCTGGTGCCCCCCTGCCTGTTCAGATAGGAGACCACTGTGGTGTTGTCTGAGCGCACCATCACGTGTCTTCCCTGCAGCTGAGGAGCAAATTGCAGCAGTACCCTGTGTACTGCCTCCATCTCCAGCAGGCTGATGTGACGGGCTGAGTCCGACCAGCAGCCTCCTACAGAGCTCTGGCCGAGGACCCTGCCCCATCCTTCGAGTGACGCGTCCGTGAACACCTCCACGTGAGACACGGCGCAGGCCAGAGTCACTCCGTCCCGCAATAGACCCGGAGTGAGCCAGAACCTGATGTCCGATGCTGCCACTTGTGGAACCCAGATTAGACTCCCCCCGTCCCGGGAGGGGTGAAGCCTGAGGCGTGAGAACCACCTCTGAAAATTCCTCATGTGGAGAAGGCCTAGCCGCACCACAGCATGAGCCGCCGCCATCATTCCCAGCAGTGACCTGAGGCGCCGAGCGGGGACCCTGGGGCCCGCCAGAACCTCCCTGGCCAGACGGGTAACGTCTGTCCACGGACAATGCAGCACGGAATGTCACAGAGTCTAGCTGCAGGTCGAGATAAATCATGCACTGAGCGGGCTGCAGCTTGTTTTTCTCCCTGTTT